CCCTCCCAGCTTCCTGTGTCACCATGAGTTCTCTCTCTTGAGTGTGCTCCTACTGTAGGGCTGCCTACCATCCACCATGACTGCCTCACTAGAACTAGAGATGGTGCCAGCGCTATACCCTTGGACCTCTGGAACCATGAGCTCACTAAATCTCTTTTCTTTACCAATTGCCTAGCCTTGGGCATTGTGTTATAGCAACGAAAAAACAGCAAACGCTCCACAGTGCACGGTCACTCTGGCAAATGGCCCCCCCTAGGGAGGCTGGAAACAGGAGTGGTGGTTCTAACTGTGGCCCTACTGTAGGGTCTTCCCACACCAAGGTCTTTCCCTCCAGTTCCTTCAGGAGGTTCTGAGTCCACAAAGTTACTCAGGGGGCAAAACTGGGTGAAATACAATAACCCTACAATGCAGTGTCTCAAACCAGGTTTGTGGATGCTGTAACAGGACCACTTTCAGGTATTTGCAGGAAATAACACGTTAATGGAGTTTCTATATATTTTATTCCTCTGGACATCACAATCACTAAGAAGATCCTTGGGCGAAGCCATTCAGATTACAGTCCCATCCATGCTTGCTGTCCATAATCATAATAGTACTCTTTTTTTTAGTATTTATTTATTTTTTAGTATTTATTTATTTATATGAAAGACATAGCTCCAGAGAGAGGTAGAGAAAGAGAGGTCTTCCATCCACTCCCCAATTGGCCACAATGGCCAGAGCACAGCTGATCTGAAGCCAGGAGACTGGAGCTTCTTCCAGGTCTCCCACGTGGGTGCAAGGACTCAAGGACTTGGGCCATCTTTCCATTGCTTTTCCAGGCCACAGCAGAGAGCTGGATCAGAAATGGAGCAGCCAGGACTAGAACTCGCACCCATATGGGATGCCGCACTGCCCGCAATGGCTTTACCCTCTACGCCACAGCGTCAGTCCCCATAGTGTTGCTCTTGTTTCTAATGGCACTTGATCTGTACTTGGCTTCCACCACTTTGGAAATGAACCAGCAGCATGGCAAACCACAGTACCCCCTCCACCTCCCCCCCCTTTTTTTAAAGATTTGTTTATTTATTTGAAAGGCAGAGTTAGAGAGAGAGAGAGAGAGAGAGAGAGAGAGAGATCTTCCATCCAGTGACCACAACGGCTGGGGCTGTGTCAGGCTGAAGCCATGAACTTGGATCCAGATCTCCCTTATGGGTGCAGGGGTCCAAGCACTTGGGTCATCTGCTGCTTTACAGGCACATGGATCAGAAGTGGAGCAGCCAGGACTCAAGCCAGTGCTCATATGGGATGTTGGTATTGCAGGCAGTGACTTAACCTGTTTTGCTACAATACCAGCCCAGTTACTCTCTCTTTTTTTTTTTAGATTGATTTATTTATTTGAAAGGCAGAGTTTTATGGTGGCTGGGGGAGGGAGGAGAAAGAGAAAAAGAGAGAGAGAGAAGAGGGAGAGAGAATCTTCCATCCATTGGTTCACTCCCCAAATGACAGAAATGACCAGGTTGAGCCAGGCTGAAACCAGGAGCCAGAAGCTTCTTCCAGGTTTCACACATGGGTGCAGAGGCCCAAGCACTTGAGCTATCCTCCACTGCGTTCCCAGGCCATGAGCAGGGAGCTGGATCAGAAGTGGAGCAGCCAGGACCCAAACCGGTGCCCACATTGGATGTCCACACCACAGGCAGCAGCTTTACCCCCTATGCCACATCACTGGCCTCTGCAGTTGCCCTTTTTAAATGTGCTTCTGGTTTTTGAGCACAGAGAGCAGTGGGAAATGGAGTGGTCATGTGCCACATGGCCCATCTTCTTTCTACGGGAGATCTGTTTTATGGTTGTGGGAAGCATATGATAGAGCCCAGCCAACCCATAAACACGGGTCGTGGCTTGGGGAAGTTTTTCTCACTTGCTTGCAATCTAAAGCAGTGCAGTTTGGATCTGTCAATGTAAGAGGCATCCCTTCCCAGCCCCACCTTGTTCCAGTGGACCTAGCAAACTATGAAGAACATACAGGTTGCAGAGCCCCACGGTCGCTCCCTTCCTGCCTTCAATCCAATTTACACTCTATAGTAAATATTCAATAGACCACACTAGTATCAGAAAAGGAATGTCTGACTGTGCCCACCACAATGATAGACAGGTGGGCTTGGACAAAATTTCAAAAGGCTAGGTGTTTGGTGTAGTGGTTTAAATGCTACTTGGGATGCTTGCAGCCCACATCAGAATGGCTGATTTTGAGGCCCAGATCCACATCTGATTCCAGCTTCCTGCTAATACACACCATGGGAGGCAGCATGTAGGGCATGAAGTGATTGTGGGACTGGCGCTACGATGTAGCGGGCTAAAGCCCAGGCCTGCAGTGCCAGCATCCCATATGGTTGCCAGTTCAAGTCCCAGCTGCTCCACTTCTGATCAGCTCCCTGCAAGTGCGCCTAGGAAAGCAGAAGAGAATGATCTAAGTTCTTGGGCCCCTGCAACCACATGGGAGACAGGAGGAAGCTCCTGGTTTTCGGCTTCAGATTGGCCCAGCTCCGGCCATTGTGGCCATTTAGAGAGTGAACCAGCGGATGGAAGACTTCCCTGTCTATAACTCTACCTTTCAAATAAATAAAATAAATCTAAAAAAAAAAGTGATTGAGTTCCTGCCACCCATATGGGAGACCAAGACTGAGTTCCAGAGTCTTGGCTATAGCCTAGCCTAGCCTCAGCTGTTGCACGCATTGGGGGAGTGAACCAATGCGTTTGAGAATTCTTTCAATCTGTTACTCTCACTCTCTGCCCTTCAAATAAATTAAATAAATAAATAAATAATTTTTTAAAAAAAGATTATTTATTTACTTAAGAACCATACTTACAGACAAAGAGAAAGACAGACAGAGAGAGAGGTCTTCCATCCACTGGTTCACTCCCCAGATGGCTCAAATGGCCAGATCTGAGCTGATCCTAAGCCAGGAACCAGGAGCTTCTTCTGAGTCTCCCACACAGATGCAGGGGCCCAAGCACCTGAGCCATATTCTATTACTTTCCTAGGCCCTCGTCAAGGAGCTGGCCCTCATCAAGTCCTTGTGCTCCTGCACCTGCGTAGGAGGCCTGAAAGAAGTTCCTGGCTCCTGGCTTCGGATCGGCACAGCTCCGGCCGTTGCAGCCAATTGGGGAGTGAACCATTGGATGGAAGCTCTCTCTCTCTCTCTCTCTCTCTCTCTCTCTCTCTCTCTCTCTCTCTCTGCCTCTCCTCTCTCTGACTTTCAAATAAACAAATAAAAAAAAAAAAAAAAAAGGAGCTGGATCTGAAGAGGAGCAGCCGGAAAACAAACCATTGCCTATAAGGGATGCTGACACGGCAGGCAGAGGCTTACTGCTACAGTGCCGGCCTTTTTTTTTTTTAGACGTATTTATTTGAAAGGCAGACTGAAAGAGAGGGGAAGAGAGAGATTTCTAACCACTAGTTCACTCCACAGATGGCAAGAACAGCCAGTCCTGGACCAGGCCAAAGCCAGAAGCCCAGAACTTCATCTGGGTCTCCCACATGAGTGGCAGGGGACCAAGCACTTGGGCCGTCTCCTGCTGCTTTCTCAGGTGCATTAGCAGGAAGCTGGATCAGAAGTGGAACAACTGGGTCTCTAACCCAGCACTGCAATATGGGATGCCAATGTTGCTGCTGGCGGTTTAACCCACTGCACCATCAACACTGACCCCAGTTCTTGATGTCTGAGTGACAACTGCTTGACATAGTTCCATTTGACAGGGGGTTGCCCACTGGTGTCCTCCATGTGTCTCCCCTGATTCCCTCCTTAACTGACACTCCACATATCCCATGTGTGTTCTGTTTATAAGATTACAATCTGGCTAGTGCCGCGGCTCAATAGGCTAATCTTCCACCCGTGGTGCCGGCACCCCGGGTTCTAGTCCCAGTCAGGGCGCCGGATTCTGTCCCGGTTGCTCCTCTTCCAGCCCAGCTCTCTGCTGTGGCCCGGGAGTGCAGTGGAGGATGGCCCAAGTCTTTGGGCCCTGCACCCACATGGGAGACCAGGAGAAACACCTGGCTCCTGCCTTCAGATCAGTGCGGTGCGCTGGCTGCAGTGCGCCGGCTGCAGCGGCCATTGGAGGGTGAACCAACAGAAACAGGAAGACCTTTCTCTCTCTCTCTCTCTCTCTCTCTCTCTCTCTCTCACTGTCCACTCTGCCTGTCAAAAAAAAAAGAGAGAGAGAGAGAGAGACTACAATTTGGTGGTACCTGGGAGAGTTGGTTAAGGTTCAAATCCAGCCAATCAAGTGACACCTTGTATGAAATGTAGCCCATTCCTAACTAACGCATAAACACTCTGGCTTCTGTCTTCCTTGCCATTTCTGAAAGCCTGTCACCCTTCCTGCTAATGAAATCCCATGTCCCCTGAGAGTCCCCCTGGTGTGTTAATAAACTTTGCTCTACTATGTTTAGTTTTGGTGGCGCCATCGGCATGGCCATCTAGCAAATTCTCAGAGGGTGGATCACTCGGGAAGCTCTTTAGGGACTTCTCATATCATCTGACGAATGCAATGTGACATAGGAAAGGTGTGTGGGCAGAGACGGTCCTGCCTGGGTCTCTCACTCTCCTGCTCATCTTGCTGGGTTTTGCCAGGAATATAGCTCCCTGACCACCTCTACCTGGGCTGTTTCTCAGGGTTGCATTTGCAACAGAAGCTCCAGGGATGAGGAAGTTCCCTCCAGGACAAAGAGCAGGTTTGCTTTCTGCTTTCTATCAACCAGCAGCAGGTTCCTCCAGCTCAGCGATTCTCAGCCGAGACACAAATTCCCTGAATGCACAGAAACTGTCTGGCACCGCTGGCTGAACTCCATGAGGCTTAAGCGAGGACAGAGAAAGACGAAAAGAACGAAAGCAGACAATATAAAGGTGGTATTCAGCAGGCGGGGCTATTGATGGCTCCTGCTGGCACAATACCTAAGAAAAGCTCCTTTGCCTCTTTTTTTTTTTATAAATTTTTTTTATTTTTTTTTATTTTTGACAGGCAGAGTGGACAGTGAGAGAGAGAGACAGAGAGAGAAAGGTCTTCCTTTGCCGTTGGTTCACCCTCCAATGGCTGCCGCTGCAGCCGGCGCACCGCGCTGATCCGATGGCAGGAGCCAGGATCCAGGTGCTTTTCCTGGTCTCCCATGGGGTGCAGGGCCCAAGCACCTGGGCCATCCTCCACTGCACTCCCTGGCCATTTCCTTTGCCTCTAATTCAAGACTCTTGCCTTCAGCCTGGTCCCTACCCCCACTCCACCCCCTATTCTGCCTTTCAAATAAATAAGTAAATATTAAAAATTAAAAAACATTTTGGTGGGGCCAGCGCTGTGGTGTAGAGGGTAAAGCTGCCGCCTGCACTGCCAGCATCCTATGTGTGCTGGTTTGCGTGCCGGCTGCTCCACTTTGGATGCAGCTCTCTGCTATGGCCTGGGAAAGCAGTAGAAGATGGCCCAAGTCCTTGGGCCCCTGCACCCATGTGGGAGACCTGGAGGAAGCTCCTGGATCCTGGCTTTGGATTGGTGCAGCTCTGGCCGTTGGAGCAAATTGAGGGGTGAACCAGAGGATGGAAGACCCCCCCACCTCTCTCTCTCTCTCTCTACCTCTGCCTCTCTGTAACTCTGCCTTTCAAATAAAAAAAAATTTCCAGCATGAACTTCAAGACAGGTAGATTTGTCTCTATTGTTAGAGTTTTTTTTTTTTTTTTTATTAAAGATTTATCTTGTTATTTGAAATTCAGAGTTACAGAGAGAGAGGGAAAAAGAGATCTTCCGTTTGCTGGTTCACTCCCCAGATGGCTACCCAAAGCCAGGAGCTTTCTCAGGGTCTCCCACATGGGTGCAGGGGCCTAAGCACCTGGACCATCCTCTGTTTCTTTCCCAGGCACATTAGCAAGGAGCTGGATGGGGAGCAGAGTAGCCGGGACTCAAACCGGCATCCATATGGGATGCCAGTGTTGCAGGCTGCAGCTTAACCCAGTTGGCCCCCGCTGTTGCTGTTTTAGCCTTGCTGCCAAAGCTTTCTCCCACTGCCCCAGTCTCTTCTAATGGCACGGAAAGCTGTTCTCAGCGTCTCTTCGCTTTCTCCTCCCCAACCAACAGAAGGACCCACATAGCTCTGAGAACAAGGCCAAGACCACTGAAGTGGAGATTTGCATTTCTATAGTTAGGATTATCTTGCGGATTTTTCTCAAGCAGTGGTTGTGGGGCTGCTCCTGAATTTGGCCCTGATTTTGAGAGAATATGCTTTTGGATGTTCAGCTTTCCTTTGTGTAGCTACAACTACAACAATGCCAAATTTCTCATGACCGTGAATGTCATTCTGCCATTCTAAAACATTTGTGTTTCTCGTAACATGATTACTCTTCTGTATCAGAGGTATCATTTTACCCCATTTGTCCCTCAGACTTAACACCACTCACTCTCGCTATTTTGTACTCTGCAAAATTTCTTCCTTATGGCTCTTGTCAGACTCAAGGAGGCTCAGCCGCATTTTCTTCCCATCATAAATATTAATGCTGAGAATTGGCGCATTCTCGGAGAGGCCTTTCCACAGAGGAAAAGAAATAGAGCTAAGTCGGCATCCCGGTTCTAACCCTGGTCGAAATGCAGAGGTCTCAGATTTATCTGCTGTTGTTGGTACGTCGTCAGTGCCAGTGAGGACAAGTTGTCCTTTGCCCTCAGCTCCGAAAAATCAAAGATAGAAAACCCCAAATTGCTCATGGTGAGTATTCTGCATGCTTTCCAAGAGTGCTAGCAACTCAGTAGTGTCCACAAATAGGGCTGCAGAGGGTTAAGTTGCCACCTGCAATGCCAGCATTCCATATGAGTGTGGGTTCGAGTCCCAGCTGCTCCACTTCCAGTCCAGCTCCCCGTTAATGTGCCAGGGAGAGCACAGAAGATGGCCCAAATATTTGGGCCCCTGTCACCCACATGGGAGATACGGATGAAGTTCCAGGCTCCTGGCTTTTGTGTGGCTATTTGTGGCTATTATTTCAAATAAATAGATTTTTTAAAAGATCTATTTATTTATCTGAAAGTCAATTTTTTTTTTTATAGGCAGAGTGGACAGTGAGAGAGAGAGACAGAGAGAGAAAGGTCTTCCTTTGCCGTTGGTTCACCCTCCAATGGCCGCCGCTGCAGCCGGCGCACCGCGCTGATCCGATGGCAGGAGCCAGGATCCAGGTGCTTTTCCTGGTCTCCCATGGGGTGCAGGGCCCAAGCACCTGGGCCATCCTCCACTGCACTCCCTGGCCATAGCAGAGAGCTGGCCTGGAAGAGGGGCAACCGGGACAGAATCCGGCGCCCCGACCGGGACTAGAATCCGGTGTGCTGGCGCCGCAAGGTGGAGGATTAGCCTATTGAGCCACGGCGCCGGCGTCTGAAAGTCAATTTTTTTAAAAAAGATTTAGTTATTTATTTGAAAGTCAGAGTTACACAGAGAAGGAGAGGCAGAGAGAGAGAGGTCTTCCATCCGCTGGTCCAGTTGGCCATAACGGCCGGAATTATGCTTATCTAAAGCCAGGAGCCAGAAGCTTCTTTCAGATCTCCCACACAGGTGCAGGGGCCCAAGGACATGAGCCATTTTCTACTGCCTTCTCAGGCCATAACAGAGAGCTGGATCAGAAGTAGAGCAGCCGGGATACAAACTGGCGCCCATATAGGATGCCAGTGTTTCAGATGATGGCTTTACATGCTATGCCACAGCTCCAGCCCCATAAATAAATCTTTAAAATAAATAAATAAATAAATAAATAGTCCGTGAGGCATCCAGGAAACTGGGAACTTCGCAGTCTTTTGCTGTGAAGTTACATATTAGAAGGGACACATGTGGGTACATCGTGCTGGGAAGAGAGCCAGTGCTGTGATGTGCGGCACAGGCACACGGGCAGCTGGGAATCAGTTTGGTTCTAGACAGGATTGTCTTCCACAGGAGACCGGGATTTCTGCTGGCAGTGCCTGGCGGGAGTCTGCAGGCAGATGCCCTTTGTCACAGAGCCTCTCACATCACAATGCTGTGGCCAAGAGCCCATCTCCTAAAGTAGCAGAGACTGCCAGCCTCTGCCTGGAAAGTCTCACAGTGGAAGCTGGATCCCAACAAAGCGATCTGGATGTAGAACCAGTTTCCAATACAAGACTGGGCCTATCTTCTACTTATGTATTGGTTAAGCGCAGGTGAAACCAGGAGCAGAACAGTGCATAAGGCGCTACTGTCTCTGGGAAGGACAGGGACCATGTTTACACACAAATGTGCCTGTCCATCCATAGGCAATCTTGGGGCTGGTCCTTTGCCCTCCAGGGAAAGGAACTGAGACATAGGAGCGAGAGGACTTTTGCCCTGTGCAAAGACTACATGTCCTGTTCGAAAGAATAAGATTTGAAACATAAACTAGAAAGATGAGTGGGTTGTTTGTGCCTGAGAAGCCTGGACCCTGGATGTCCGGCCTCAGGCAGCAGTGGCCCAATGTGTGGCCCTTGGGACCAACTGGAAGCAACTGCCTGGCACCTGGTGCCTGCTGCTGCTGATCCACCTGCTGTCACCTGCGCGGCTAACTGCATAACAAGGACCCGGGTCCTTTGGGGACCCAGGAGTTCATCGCAGCAACATAATGATATTGAAGTTTTGTAGGAGAAAATTATTACTCTTCAGGGATGCATCCTCAAGTATTTTTAGAAAGCCTGAACTTGTTTTCCAGTGGTCGGGATGGGGGAGGGAGTGGCTGTACACAAATGCACACAATCACACACATGACTAGGGGAATGAGTGAAGGCATAGAGCAAGTGATGTCAAAAATGGCTGCATTGCCAGTGCTGTGGCTCACTAGGCTAATCCTCTGCCTAATCCTCACCCCATGGGAGACCAGGAGAAGTACCTGGCTCCTGGCTTCGCAGATCAGGATTTTGTATGGGCGCTAGTTCTAGTCCCCGCTGCTCCTCTTTCTATCCAGCTCTCTGCTATGGCCTGGGAAAGCAACAGAAGATGACCCAAGTCCTTGGGCCCCTGCACCCACGTGGGAGACCCAGAAGAAGCTCCTGGCTCCTGGCTTCTGATCAGCTCAGCTCTGGCTGTTGTGGTCATTTGGGGAGTGAACCAGCAGATGGAAGACATTTCTCTCTCTCTCCATCTCACTGCATGTAACTCTACCTCTCAAATAAATAAATAAAATATTTTTAAAAAGATGCATTCATGCACCCAACGTCCTGGGCATCCCAGCTTAGCAACACCGCACTGGAGAGCACCGTTTGCTTCTCCTGATCTGACTGCAGCTGTGCTCTCGGACGCCGCCCAGCGTTGGGAGATAGGATTGCACCACAGACGACTAGCCCGGGAAAAGATCAAAATTCAAAACTTTCTCTTTTCCTTTCAGTCGCAACCGCCATCTTCCAGCGGCGCACCAGGATGAGGAACACAAAGGGAAAGAGGAAAGGCACCTGAAAGATGTTTTCCAGACCTACTAGAAAACGTGGAGTCAGTCGCTCCAGTGGTCACATAAATGTGCACCTGCATGAAGGGTGATATTGTCGACACCGGGCGGGGGGTGGGGGGTCTGGAACCGGTACTCTTCAAAAAGGAATGCCAGGCCTGTCCCCGCGGCCAAACTGGAAGAGTCTGCAGTGTGTCCCAGCGTGCTGTGGGCATGGTTGTGAGCAGGGTAAGAGCAAGATCCTTGCCGAGAGAATCAACGTGCGTATTGCACACGTTAAGCCCTCTAAAAGCCAAGTAAAACAAAACAACCCCCGGAGCTGTTAAAAAAAATTAAAAATTTAAAGCACAGTTTCTACTGTATCACTTCCTCACCATCCTATCTTTGGAAAATCACTAAGTCAACACTATGATAAGTTGGGGACTGTCTTTATTAAGCGCTTCTTACAGGCAGCTTAAAGAGAAAAATCGAAGCCAAACGTTGCACAGAACATGGTTTCTTCCTAGATAGAAGCCTAGATGAGATTGCAGAGACACACTGGCCCCAGACTGGTTACTTTCCAGATACGCCTGCTGCACCTTCTTGCCTAAAGCAGGAGTGTCTCTGGGGAGGCAACGCTTGGGTCCTAATGAGGAGAGCAGGCGCTGCCCCGGGCAGTCCAGAATCCACCCCGCATCGTGATCACCCATAGACAAACATGGGCAGTGGGCGGAGACCCGGGGGCAAACAGACCAGACAGGAGCAATCAGGTGAGCGCTGCGGCCCAAGGGATGCCTTCAGGGTTTGTTTCAGCCGCTCACTCTCCAGGCTGGCTGGTGACTCAGGCTTCCCACCCCCACGGTCCGGAGAGGCTCCTACGCCTGCTGTTCGTTCCTGGGGAGCCCTCTAGAGGCCAGTGCGTGCCACTGTCACGCGGTCCGCGCGGAGTCGACCAGCAGGTGTTTTCGCTGGGCTGGCCTCCCCTAGAATGAATGGGGTTGGCTGGAGGAGAATTAGCAGTGGTCTTTGCCCTCCACCTCCAGGTGTCATATTCTGTCATTCCAAGGGTGAGGAACTGCGATGTTGGCTGCGGGCCAGAACGGGAGTGCAGTGGCACGTGGGGAAAACGAGGCAGGGCCGGCTGACCGAGCTGGCCGGCTGAGTGCGCAGGTGGGAGGTGGATAAATTCCACGTGACCATCGATGGAGCAAAGTGTGGAGAGAAAGTTAGGTATTTTGTGGTGCCAAGCGCCTACCTATGAAGTGGCATGGCCAAGGAGGCCACCAAAATAAAGCCAGCACTTTCAGGAGAAGTAGAACTCAATGGGTGCCCATTCTCACTGATGGTGACATTGGCCATGCTTCCATGGGCCTCCAGATAGCTGGGTGGCCCTGTGGCCCCGGGATGCCAACACACAGTCTCTTGGGTGGTCCTCAGCCGTCCTGGGAGTCATTTCCTGGTCCAGGTACCACTGCCTGGCCAGGAGCCTGGGGCTGCACTACCAGAGCAAAGGTGGGGAATGCAGAGGGAGCTGTGGGGAGATAGCAAGTGCAGGGCCCAGACCTCAGTTAGAAGAGACTGGTCAGGGGCCGGTCGTTGCTGTGGTGAAGAGGGTTAAGCCTCCGCCCATGGTGCTCGCATCCCATATGGATGCTGGTTCTAGTCCCGGCTGCTCCTCTTCCAATCCAGCTCTCTGTTGTGACCTGGGAAAGCAGTGGAGGATGGCCTGAGTGCTTGGGTCCCTGCACCTGTGTGGGAGACGCAGAGGAAGCTCCTGGATTCAGATCGGCCTGGCTCCAGCCATTGCAGGCATTGGGAGAGTGAACCAGTGGATGGAAGATGTTTCTCTCTGTCTCTCCCTCTCTCTGTAACTCTGGCAAATAAATGAAATAAATCTTAAAAAAAAAAAAAGGTTTATTTATTTGAGACGTTGAGTTGGGGCCGGCACTGTGACATAGCGGGTAAAGCCTCCACCTGCGCCGGTTCAAGTCCTGGCTGCTCCATTTCCAACCCAGCTCTCTGCTATGGCCTGGGAAAGCAGTGGAAGATGGCCCAAGTCCTTGGGCCCCTGCACCCACGTGGGAGACCTGGAAGAAGCTCCTGGCTCCTGGCTTCAGATCGGCACAGCTCCAGCCATGGCCATTGTGGCCAATTAGGGAGAGAATCAGCGGGTGGAAGACCTCTCTCTCTCTCTGCCTCTCCTTCTCTCTTTGTGTAACTCTGATTTTCAAATAAATAAATAAATCTTAAAAAGAGAGAGAGAGAGAAAGAGAAAGAGAGAGAGGTAGAGTTACAGAGAGAAGGAGAGACACACACACACACAGAGGTCTTCCATCCACTGGTTCACTCCCCAAATGGCTGCAACAGCAGAGCTGCACCCATCTGAAGCTAGGAGCCAGGAGCTTCTTCTGGGTCACCCACAGGGAAGCAGGGGCTCAAGGACTTGGATCATCTTCCACTGCTCTCCCAGGCCCATTAGCAGGTAGCAGAATTGGAAGTGGAGCGCCCATTTGTGATGCCGGTGCTCCAGGCTGGGGCTGTAACCTGCTACACCACAGCGCCAATCCAAATCTTGAAAAAAAAAAAAAAAAAAGATATGCAGGGCTCCAAAGGGAACAGATTATATACACACAGGTATATAAAAACCCCGTGCATAGTAATGCCTGTGCTTCCTTATTGACTCATGCAATAACCACCTTTATCAGTAAACCTCATAACGCATGTGCCTTCAATATAGTGGTGGTTGTAGTAAGTATATGGAGGGACAGTTTGTGTAATGTGATTTGGAAATACCCAAGGATGTGACTCCCATTAGTGACAAAGTGGCAGCTACTGCAGAGATCACTGAAATCTGTCGTTGGCCTTTATAACAAAAGGAAATGGCTGTTGGTGGAAGCAAATGTACCTTCTTTTTCCATGCAAGTTCACAGAGGCCCCCCACCCCAGTTCTATCCCCAGACTGTACCTTAGAACCCTTACCCTGGGGTCTCTCTCACCCAGAATGCCAGGCCAGAGAAGCCATTCTTTCCCCCTCAGTCCTCCCCCTGGCAGATATGGGGCCAGGGTTTCTCTAGGTTTGCCATGTGGAAGCTTCTGGTTCCATTGGCCTCCTTTAAAGCAACAGGCAAACTCTTTTGCTTCTTGTAGCTCAGTGTTTTTCAAACATTTTGACACGCACCTCCACAATAAGAAATGCATCCTACACTGAGACCCAGGACACACAGGCACAACTGAAACCACAGCTCTTTTTTTAGATTTATTTTATGTATCTCAAAGACAGAGTTACAGAGAGAGAGAGAGAGAGAGAGAGAGAGAGAGAGGTCTTCCAAATGGCTGCAATGGCCAGAGCTGGGCCATTCTGAAGCCAGGAGCCAGGAGCTTCTTCTAGGTCCCTCACATGGGTGCAGGGGCCCAAGCATGTGTGCTCAGGCCATCCTCAGATGCTTTCCCAGGCACATTATCAGGGAGTCAGATCGGAAGTGAAGCAACCCAGACTTGACACAGTGCCCATTTGGGCAGCTGGCATTGCAGGAGGCAACTTAACCCATTATGCCACAATGCCAGCCCTGAAGCCACACTTTCATTGAACAACACCTTCTTCATTATAATACATTAATTTTCCAAGGCTGCTAGGACACAATATCATGGATTTAGCAGCTTACACAGCAGAAACTTATTCTCTCCTCCTCCTCCTTTTTTTTTTTTTTTTTTTTTTTTTTTTTTTTTTTTTTTTTTAACAGGCAGAGGGGACAGGGAGAGAGAGAGACAGAGAGAGAAAGGTCTTCCTTTGCCGTTGGTTCACCCTCCAATGGCCGCCGCTGCAGCCGGCGCACCGTGCTGATCCGATGGCAGGAGCCAGGAGCCAGGTGCTTTTTTCCTGGTCTCCCATGGGGTGCAGGGCCCAAGCACCTGGGCCATCCTCCACTGCACTCCCTGGCCATAGCAGAGAGCTGGCCTGGAAGAGGGGCAACCGGGACAGAATCCGGCGCCCCAACCGGGACTAGAACCCGGTGTGCCGGCGCCGCAAGGTGGAGGATTAGCCTATTGAGCCACGGCGCCGGCCTCCTCCTCCTTCTTTTAAAAAGATTATTTATTTGGAAGGTGGTGTTAGAGGGAGAGAGTGTGAGAATCTTCTATCCACAAATGGCCACAACAGCTGGGGCTGTACCAAGCTGAAATCAGGAGCCAGAAGCTTCATCTGGGTCTCTCAGATGTGGGTGGCAAGAGCCTAAGCACTTGGGTCATCTTCTTCTGCTTTCCCAGGCGCATTAGCAGGGAGCTGGATCAGCCACGACTGGAGCCAGTGCTCTCATCCACGCTGTTGGCTGAACTTTCTGCACCACAATGGCAGCCCCAGGGCTGGTTTCTTTGGTCTTCCCAGCTGGCAAATGGCCTTCCCTCTCTGGGTGTCTCTGTCTCTCTGTGTGTCTCCATGTGTCTATATGGCCTCTCCATGTGTCCAAGTTACTACTTTTGAGGACACTGGCCAGACTGGATTCAGTTCTGCCCTCACGACCTCCCTTTAACTTAGTCACTGTTTAGAGGCTCCCCCCCCCATCAGTCACATGCTGAGGTCCTGGGGTTAGGACTTCAACATATGAATTTCATGGATCCAACTCACATGAAATAAAAACAAGCATGTTTACACAAAGTACTTGCTAATATTGAAACTTCACAATGTCTTAGTTCGTGCTGGCTGCTGTAACAGAATGCCGCAGATGGCCTGGACTTTGTATCTCACTGTTCTGGAGGCTACTGTGTGGGGAGGGCTCTTTTCCTGGTGTACGGATGGCCGTGGTCTCATTGTGTCATCACATGGGAAAGGGAGATCCATTTCTTGTGTCTTCTATATAAGGGCTCCACCCCCTGACCAGCTAGCTCCCCAAGGCCCTGCCTCCAAACATGGTCACATTAGAGGTTTAGGCGTCAACACAGGAATTGGGGGCAGGGAAGACACAAACATTGAGTGCATAACAAACAGGTAAATCTTCCTGCTTAGTTAGGACAAATACCAGGGTATCTCAAAAAAGTTTGTGGAAAAATGGATTTACAAGATAATGCATATTTCCCATGAAATTTCTGAAGACCTCTTGCACCTATATATATATGTTTTGTAATGAATGTTCTTGTTCTTTTTTTTTTTTTTTAAGACTTATTTATTTATTTGAAAGGCAGAGTGACAGAGAGGGGGAGACATGGAGAGAGAAATATCTTGCATCTGTTAGTTCATTCTCCAAATGGCTGTAACAGCCAGGGCTGGCACAGGCTGAAGCCAGGAGCTTGGAACTTCATCTGTGTCTCCCATGTGGATAGCACATGTCTTTGAGCCATCAACAGCTGCCTTCCCAGGAACATTAGCTGGAAGCTGGATCAGAAGTGAAGTCAAGACTCAACCCGGCCCTTTGGTAAGGGATTCTGATGTCCCAAGCAGCAGTTTAACCCGCTGCACCACAATGCCTGCTCCACTGCACTTGCTTTTGCATAGGTTTAACACCGCCTGAACCGCACAGGACAATACAGTATGTGCAGAGGATGCAAGATCAGGCCTTGCTTCTGATTGTAAGAAAGGCTGGGTTGAAAGTGTAGTTGACACTACTAGGGCACTGACAACAGTGACGATAATACCAACACAGTCTTTCTGCTGGATTGTGGACTGTTTTCCATCTGCATGTCTCATCACGACCCCTCAGTGTAAGCAAGAAATCAGTGTCACATTTAATTCCATGACCCACTCAGGATTTCTCTAAATAGTTTTCTTTCATGCTACAGATTTTCTTGTGGAAAGTAATGAGTACAATTTTAAGACAGATACAAGAGATGTAACAACATCTCTAATTTTGTTTATTCAAAACATCTTCACAGGGTAGCTAGGGCTAGCATCTTTGTTTTTGTTTTTTAAACTTGCTATAACAATGCTTTTTTTGAGCTTTTAAATATCTTGACTATGCTGAAATCATGTTTCCTCTGTGATTAAAATTTTAGTTTATTGACAATGCCCAAAATTGTTTAAATAAGATAATTTTGTTGCACAAATACTTCAACTAGGTGCTAAATGAGATTGTTTGCCAACTAGAATGATGCTGACTATCCTCGCTGCTCTTGTTCCCCGCCCTTAGCACTGTTCCCTGCAAGGATGCCCGGGGAATGCAGCATGAGCCGGCAGACTCCTCAGCCTTTGACCAGGGCATGTCTATTTTATTTTGTTTCATTTTTTTTTAAAAATATTTATTTATTTTAAAGGCAGAGTTACAGAGAGAAGGAGAGGCAGAGAGAAAGAGAGAGAGAGTTCTTCCATCTGCTGGTTCACTTTCCAAATGGTTACAATGGCTGGAGCTGGGCTAGATTGAAGCCAGGAGCTTCTTCCAGGTCTCCCACATGGGTACAGGGGCCCAAGCACCTGGGCCATCCTCCACTGCTTTCCCAGGTGCATTAGCAGGGAGCTGGATCGGAAGTGGAGCAGTCCTGGCTACAGCACCCATGAGAAGCCAGCACTGCATGTGGTGGCTTTACCCACCGTGCCATGCTGCTGGCCCCTGTATCTCTGTAATTCTACAAATGTCTATTCGTATTGGAAGTTAGTTTTAGACAGCACAAAGCTATAAATAACATGAAGAGAGGCCAGTTTTCTTGGTACCACATTCCCAGCACCGAAAATAGTGCCTGGCTCATGGTTGGCACTGTACTAAGCAGGTTTCCATTCCTACAATGAAATACCCGAGGCAACTGACTTTATAAGAAGAAATGGCTCATTGACCTCACACATTTGCAAGTTCCAGTCTAAGATGGACAGCCTGATCGGCTTGGCACCTGGGAAAGGCAGCGTGCAGGCAGAGGAAGGATCACATGGCAAGTCAGGAAGCTGAAACTGGACCTAACGCAGGCTTTTATAACCAACACTCTCATGAGAACTACCTACCGAGGGCACAGACCTCCCACCAGGCCTATTTCTCAGACACCAAAATTGAATCAAGGCTCTACTTTTCTAGCAGAGAGGGAGCCAGAGAAGTTTCCATCCACAGGTTCCTTCCCCAAATGGCTGCAACAGCCATGGCTTAGCCAGACCAAAGCCAGGAGCCCAGAGCTTCATCTGGGTCTCCCACATGGGTGACAGGGGCCCAAGCACTTGGGGCATCTTCTATTGCTTTCCCAGGCCATTAGCAGAGAGCTGGATCTGGATGGGAAGTGGAACAGCTGAGACTCGAACCGGTGCCCATATAGGATGCTGGCCACCACAGGTGTAGGCTTAGCTCATTACACCACGGTGCTGGCTCCCCAGATTCCATTTTCTAAAAGTCCATTGCTAGAATATGGATATATCATGTTTAATGTGTTGACTTTGTCTCCTATGGGCCTGCTATACTTCACTACTTAGGATTTTGTTTTGCCTTTTGCTGCTCTCTGGTTGTCTCTAGCGTCCTAGAACACACACCCAGTTCTTCTTGCTTCTTGGTCCAAACACGCCTTGTAGGAGGCAGCTCCCTTGGTCCCGTGTGAGCTCTTTCCAGCGCTATCTCAGATACTCAAGGCCGCAGTAGTCCAGTGATCGCTACAGTGGAGCACAAGTCAAGTCTGGTGTTGTCATGTTAACCTGGGGACAATACAGGCATACACTGTTAGGACTCGCACTTCAAGGGTAAAGAAATCATAAAATGAGGAGAAAAAAGTTTCAAATACAAATATTTGAATGTCTCTCTGGTCCCTCTAAACCCTGCTACTTCCTTTGCCTTCAGTTCCTCCATGCAGGGACCTCCTAGCAGGGGCCGCTGCCAGTGTCCCAGGATCTTCTCCACTTCTCTGCTCTGTGCAGCCTCCCCGAGGACTAGGACCTCCAGGCAGCAAGTCCATCTGAACCAGGACCACACAACCTAGGCTGCTTCCACCTCACTCTCCCCACTCGGGGACACAGCCTACTGAAATCTTCTGATCCAATGCCTTCCCCTGAGCCCCAAAGACTCAGCTTTCTTTTGGGGGTGGTGGTGGCAGCGGCGAGGGAAGGCTGGGAAGTTTTCAGAGCCGATGTGTAGAGAGGAACTAGGTGAGCATCAGAGAGGTTGGGGCGGGGGGCGGCAGAGGGATTGGAAACCGAGCTAAGAAGGTAAACAGGCAATAAGCCCATGTCTGAATTCATGGCATCAGATCAGCGGAAATGCAGGTATTAAACAAAAGTATCATGGTTAGGAGGAGGAGAGGAGAGAACAAAATATACTAGAATACTGAAAAACAGCACTGCTTTCTCTAGAGCAGTCAATTGTGAGAGGAAGTCAAATGACTTGGAGACACGTGGATCCCAGGCAGAGAAAGCGGCCTGGGCAGGTCCTGCCGCTCATCTGTGCTTGCCCTGTTCCAGAACCGAGAGAGGCTGCGGTGGCCCTCAGGTCTATTTTCCGATTGGCTTTTTCCTAAAGGGACTGGACTACAATTCACGGCACTGATGACCAAAGTCACGGTCAGTAGAGGCAGCCAGGCAGCAGGGAGCACCAGGGGATTTTTCCAGACAAAGCCTTTGTGGCAGGGGTGGGAGGGAGGCCAGCACCGAGGCGCTGAGTATCCCCCTTTGCCTCTGGGTCTAGGAGTGAGATCACACCCCTAACTGTTGTGAGGGCCTGAAGCCACAAGAATCAAAGGAGCCATTCTGGGCACACCTGAAGGTCCCTGGAGTCCAGGAAATGGCTGTGGGAGTTGGCCCTGCAGTCTTGATGGGGCTGGGCAGAGCCTTGGTGAGCCCCAGCTGCTGCCTGATTCACCATGCACAGTGTGGCTGTACTCACACGGTGGGCTCCCACAGCGCAGCCTCCTTCCTGCCTTCATGGTGCCCCCCTACCCCACTCTAGTGCCCTATATTACAGCTCTGGGACATCCCTGGGCTACCCCTGCCTCCCCCCTTTGAAAACAGCTTTGCTTCCATTCTCAGGCTCAATCACCTGATGTTTCTTGGTAGCTAAGCTATTCCATTTGCTATGGACCCATGGGTCCTACGGCAGCATCAACCCATGTAGCAGGTTCTGACACCACGTCCTGGCTTCCCAGGACATGAACTTCTGATGTGGCCTAGTGTCCCACAGCTAACTAGCATTGGAGCAGGAAGAGAATCCAGGTCCCCTGGTTCCTGGGGATTAAATTGACATAGGGGGTGGGTAGAAGAAAGACGCCCACACCCTAGTCCCTGGATACAGCCTGGGAACATGTTACCATCCCATACATGGGAATCTGCACATGTGACAAAAGGTACAGGCCTGGAACTTGGGAGAGAATTCTGGACAATCCAGGTGGCCCCAGTTCAAGCACCTGAGTTCTGACGGGTTCTCCTAAGGAGGCTTGGCCAAGGAAGACTTGTCTTCCGAGGGCACTCAGGTCAACGCCAAATTCATTTCCTCGGCGTGTAGGACTGAGCGTCCCTGCTTTTTGCAGGTGTTTGACGGGAGGCTGCCTTCAAATTGCAGAGGTTGCTGCAGTCCCCACAGGTCACTTGCAGTTCCTGGCCACAGGGCCCACAAGGTTGCCTACTCCAAGAGGGATACAGGTTGACACAGGTCAGTGCTGTCACAGAGCTCTCAGACGGTTCACAGCAAGTCTGTATCACAACACAAGGGAATACGCAAGGGGGCGCTGCCCATAGGACCCTACAGCAGGCACGCAAATGATGCTCAAGGTGGCATCCTTGCCCATCTCACCCTCAAATCGGTAGGCCTTCAACTGGATGCACAAAACAGTCTTTTTTTTGAAGGTTTTTAGTTAATGAACACAAATTTCATAGGTACAGCTTTTAGGAATATAGTGGTTCTTCCCCCCATTCCCGCCCTCCCACTCTAACTCCCATCCCCCCTCCTACTACCTCTCCCATGCCATTCTTCATCAAGGTTTGTTTTTAACTGACTTTATATACAGAAGCCCAACTCTATAATAAGTAGAGATTTCTTTTTATTTTATTTTTTGACAGGCAGAGTGGACAGTGAGAGAGACAGAGAGAAAGGTCTTCCTTTTGCTGTTGGTTCACCCTCCAATGGCCGCCATGGCTGGTGCGCTGTGGCCGGCACATTGTGCTGATCTGAAGCCAGGAGCCAGGTGCTTCTCCTGGTCTCCCATGGGGTACAGGGCCCAAGGACTTGGGCCATCCTCCACTGCACTCCCGGGCCATAGCAGAAAGCTGGCCTGGAAGAGGGGCAACTGGGACAGAATCCGGTGCCCCGACCGGGACTAGAACCTGGTGTACCGGCGGCGCAAGGCGGAGGATTAGCCTATTGAGCCACGGCGCCGGCCCAATAAGTAGAGATTTCAACTGTTTGCACCCACACAGACACACAAAGTATAAAGTACTGTTTGAAGACAAGTTTTACTGTTGATTCTCACAGAGGTCCAACATGGGGACTAAGTACACAGTGACTCCTGTTGTTGATTTAACAATTAACACTCTTATTTTTGACATCAGTGACCACCCAAGGCTCTTGACATGAGCTGCCAAGGCTATGGAAGTCTTTTGAGTACACAAACTCCATCAGTATTTAGACAGGGCCATATGCAAAGTGGAAGTTCTCTCCTCCCTCCAGAGAAAAGTAGCTCCTTCTTTGATGGCCCCTTCATTCCACTGGGGTCTCACTTACAGAGATCTTTCATGCAGCACAGTTTTTGCCACAGTGTCTTGGCATTCCATGCCTGAAATGCTCTCATGAGATTTTCAGTCACATCTGAATGCCTTAGGGACTGATTCTGAGGTCAGAGTGCTATTCAAGGCATTTGTCATTCTATGAGTCTACTGTGTGGACTGCTTCCCATGTTGGAACTCTCTCTCCTTTGTAATTCTATCTATTGTTATTACCAAGCACTTGGTCTTATTTATGTGACCCTTTTGCTTTTTGTCCTATCTATATGATCAATTCCACATTGAATATGATCACTTTATCACATAAGATGTGATTAGTGCCACTTTAGCTTAATGGGATTTGGAGTCCCTTGGCAAGTTTTTAGCTTCACCCTTAGGGACAGGCTGTGGGAATGTGTGCCAATCTGTTCAGCTCATCCCTCTCTCATTCCCTCTCTCATTTTTAACTGGGATCTATTTTCAATGGACTTAATAGACCTATGCTTAATTCTGTTAAGTAAAGAGTTCAATCAATCGTATTAAGTAGAAAAAAATAAATAAAATGAAACATTGAACTGTTCCTTGACAGTCAAGACAAGGGCTGTTCAAGAAATTGCTTCTCGTAGTGTCAGTTTCACCTCTACAGGTTACCTTTTAAGTGCTCAAATAAGTCTTTTTTTTTTTTTTTGAAGATTTACTTATTTATTTGAAAGTCAGAGTTACACGGAAAGAGGAGAGGCAAAGAGAGGGAGAGGTCTTCCATCCGCTGGTTCACTCCCCAGATGGCCTCAACGGTCGGAGCTGTACCAATCTAAAGCCAGGAGCTTCTTCTGGGACTCCCACGTGGGTACAGGGGCCCAAGGACTTGGGCCATCTTCTACTGCTTTCCCAGGCCATAGCAGAGAGCTGGATCAGAAGTGGAGCAGCCAGGTCTAGAACTGACACGCATATGGGATGCTGGCACTTCAGGCCAGGGCATTAACAAGATGTGCCATAGCACCGGCCCCCAAATAAGTCTTTTAATTCTACTTTCCCATGAACTTTCTGAAGCACCTCTCTCTCTTCTTATTTGACAGGTAGAGTTATAGATACTGAGAGAGACAGAAAGGCCTTCTTTCCATTGGTTCACTCCCCAAATGACCACTATGTCAATCTGAAGCCAGGAGCCAGGTGCTTCCTCCTGGCCTCCCATGCGGGTGCAGGGGCCCAAGCACTTGGGCCATCCTCCGCTGCCTTCCCAGGCCACAGCAGAGAGCTGGACTGGAAAAGGAGCAACCAGGACTAGAACCCGGCGCCCAAATGGGATGATTAACCCAAGTGATCAATGAGCCGGCCCCTACACCTTTGTATGACAAAGCACCACAGAAGTATGAAAGAGGGTAGGGGAAGCAGAATTGAGGAAAGTTTCTTGAACAAGAGAAACTATTTTCTTTCCAGTTGGGCATTATAGAATTGGCAGAACTGATAAGGGTGCTGTGGAGCAACGGGTTAAGCCACCCCCTTCAGCGTGGGCATCTCTGGTTAAAGTCCTGCTGCTCGACTTCTGATCCAGCTCCCTGCTAACGTGCTCGGAAGGCAGTGGATGATGGCCCAAGAGTGGGGCTCTGAGCTCTTGGCTCCAGCCCTGGCCATTTGGGGAGTGATACAAACTGGAGCAGAACCAGGAGAGAGCAAGGGAGGCTTAAATGATGAATTCCTGGTCAGTAAGCTAAGCAAGAGATCTAAGCACAGCCCTGGGTGTGAAGTTAAGTCGGTGTTAGCAGCTTTAGTGGGGCAGTTTGAAAAGGCGGGGGACAGCAGATTCCAACAAGTGGAGAGAGAGGAGACTAAAGAATATTCCATCAGTTGCTTTGAGGAGTTTGAGAATGAAGGGGAGAATAAAGTGGGGGAAGAAAAGTGACCTGAAAGAGGAAGAGGGGCACTTGAGAGGCAGCCTGGTAGCCAGGGGCTAATTCCTTGCTAAATTACCGAAGTCTGCAGGATGCCAAGAAGGGATTTGCGACCCGTTTGTTTTTTAACTAATTCAGAAACTCCAGGCCTTTATGACCGTCTGGGAAGGGGAGAGGGGCCGTATTCTAGTTTTGGCTAAGCCTTCGACAGGTGTATAAACTCCAAACCAAGCAAAGCGCCGCTCCTGGCTTCTCTGAAGACCAGGAGAGCTCGGGCAGCTGCCTTTCCGAGCTGCGTGTCAGAGCCCCGCTCCGAGCCCGCTGATTTCAACCGCGGGAGCTGGCTCGGAGACAGGCCCGGCGCAGACCCCATCCTCCCGCGACGCTCAGGCTTGGCCCGCCGTGGCCTTCGGCAGCCACAGTAGGCCCCAAGCACAGCCCGAAACACCCTCGGCCTTGCCCGCGGCCCCTCCGGCCCGCCGAGGTCGGCTCGGCCTCCATTGCCATTCCCGCGCCGCGCCGCGCCGCCCGCCCCTCGGGAAAATGAAACCTAGCGCCGTCAGGCTGAGGCGAAGGGGTGGGATCCACCGTCCTCTCTCACTCGGCAAAGAGAAAAGGCAGAATCGACTCCAGACGGCAAAGGGGTGTGTAGCACCGGTCGAGTCGCCGGGAGGCCCCGCCCCGGCGCTCTCCACCTCCTTCCCGGCCCGCCCTCCCTGGCGCCGGAGACTACACTTCCCAGAGGCCCCCGCGGCTTCGAGGGGCAGGCCCGTCCGCTCCCCGGCTCACAGCGGGCAGGGATTGGTTCCTCCGGGGCGAGGCGGGGCCTCCCCCAGCCAGTAGGCGACAAGCTCGTTACGGCGGCGGAAGCAGCGGCACCGGAGTGAGGGGTGGGGGGCAGAGTGCTAGCGCCCCGGCGGCGGCTGCGGGTCCGGAGCCCGAGGACGTCGGTCCTGCAGGCGGAGAGCGCACGGGAGCGAGCTCGAGGCGGCGCGGCGACCACTCGGCGCAGCACCCAGGTAATGGCGGGACGGGCGCCCGGGAGGGGAGGGGAGGGGAGGAGGCGAGGGGGCGGGGCGGCCGCGCCGGGCTGCAGCGTCCGTCCCGCTGCGCGTCCCCGGGGAAGGGCAGAGGTGTCTCGGCTCCTGCGGCTCGGACCCCGGGTCTTTAGCGAGCTGCGCACGGCGGTTGGGGCGGAGGCAGGGTCCGGGTGTCCTGCGGCGAGGAAGGGAGAGGCACCGGGAGGGGTGGGCTGACCCAGGCATGGGGGCGTGGCGGACGTGGGCCTCGGCGGGGAAGCGGAGCTGTGGAGGGAGCGCGGGCGGGCGGGCGGCCCAGGGAGTTTGGCTCCTGGAGCAGTTTAAAGTGACTCTCCACATCCGGGCCCTGCGCCCGCCGCTTTCAGACCCCGGCCGAGGCGGGGCCTCCCAGCTCCCCGCCCCCCTTGCCGGGAGCGCTTGTCTTCCCCTGCCATTGGCTCAGCCTCGAGGGGTTTGGGCTGCCCCAGCGAGGCTCGCGCCTGATTGGCTGGCGGTCGGCGGGAGGGTGGGGCGGGCCCAGAGCTCTCAGGCCGCTATGGATTGGTGCTCGGCCTCTAGTGACGCGCCGGGCGTGGGGCCAATGGGCGGGCGGGGGAGGTAGGGGCAGGTTCGGGGGAAGAGACGCCTGGGAGCCCCGCGGCGGCCGGGTTGGCGGGGTGAGCGGGGCTGGCTGGGCTGGACAGCGGCGGGCGCGGGGAGCGCTCCGGCACGAGTCCTCTCCGCGGCCCCGGAGCCCAGCGCTGCCGCCGAGATGGGCCCTCCGCGGCAGCCCCAGGCCGGCGAGATGGAAGCCGGAGGTGCGGGCGGCGGGCGGCGGCTACAGGTAAAGGGGCTCGCTGCTTGTGTTGTCTGGGGTCTCCCCGGGACGCTGACTTCCTCCGGGGTCGGCGTCTCAGGCACCGGGAGTGTCTGGAAGCCTGGGCGCTGCGACCTCGGCGTGGGGTTCGGGGTGGGGTGGGGTTGCAGGGGAATGGGGGAGATTGGCAGACCCTGACTCTCGAGGGCGAAGTGGGAGGCTATTTCAGAGAAGGTGGAGGTCTCGGCGTCCCCTGGCTCAGCGGGGGCTTGTGAGAGAGGGAGGATAAAAGAAATCCGTAAATGGAGGCCTTTGCAGAAAAGCGCTGGAGAATTCCTTTTGCATCACGTCTTGATGTGAGATTTTGAGTCCCTCCTTTGGGTTGGGAATCACCCCTTCGAATCCTTCCTTTACACACCAATCGTAGTTCTGCTCACCTTGCTGTGCGATTCGAACCTTTCAAAGGGACGTGTCATTTTTTTCCCTAAAACTTTATAGGTCCATTATGCATTGTGGTGATACCTATCATGTAGCTGTTTTGCAAAATTCATAGTCCACAGGTATCCCCCTGCACGGTACACTTACTGATCTCCTATATATCAGAAACTTACACATAATTTAAATAATGCCAGCACTTACAAGAGCAGTTGAACAAGTTGATGGCAAATGGAATCTAAAGATAAGTTTATTTAGATGCAGAATATTTTTGAGATCTCTGCATGGTTGACTTTTTGAAGACACCTCATATTTGGATTGCAAGTTGTTATTTTAGTTAAATTATGCTAGATTAGCTATTCCAAGAGAAGATGTCATAGACAGTAAAGGTGGCTTAAGTTGCAGATATCGATTCTGCTTTAGAATCTAGTAATAACGACATGACTCTGTCCTACAGGTGGAAATGAGTTCTCAACAGTTCCCTCGGTTAGGAACCCCTTCCACCGGGCTGAGCCAGGCTCCTTCACAGATTGCAAACAGTGGCTCTGCAGGATTGATAAACCCAGCTGCTACAGGTGAGATGTGTAATATTCTTTATCGCTTCCTGCTTTACCAACATTGCCAGTTTTCTAACTTAAAAATCAGCTAATTTCATCTTGGGTTTTAGTACATACTAGTGTATTGAGGTTGAAGAAAGTGTATTTTACTATTCTAATTTGAAAAAGTCTTTTTTTCCCCTAGTATTTTAATCACTTCATTCACATGTACTCATGTACTGGAATACATAGGCAACTCACAGTAAAATGTGCCTGTAAGAGCTGTTTTTCAAATGCATTAATGAGTTTTTTTTTTTTTTTATGATTTATTTTACTTACTAGAAAGAGTTACAGAGAGAGAGGGAGAAACTAGATAAAGGAAAAGGTCATGAGTTTGAAAGCTCAGTAATTTTAAGATAATTCTACCAACGTGATCTAAAGATTCAGAGAAACCCTACTCAGAATCCCAGCAGGCTCTTTTGTAAAGATTGACAGCCTGGTTCTAAACTTGCTGGGGCTATTTGAAGGATCTAACATGGCCAAGGCAATTTTGACCAAAGAAGAAGCGGGAGGACACTACACCCTTACTTCAGGACTGGTTGTAAAGCTGCACTAGTTAAGACTAAGCAATATCAGTGTTGAGATAGAAACATATAGGGGCCAGTATTGTGGTCATCCCATATGACTGCTGGCCCATGTCCTGAATGCTCTGTTCCTGACCTGGCTCCCTGCTAATGGACTGGGAAAGTAGTGGAAAATGGCCCAGGAGTTTGGGCCCCTGTCACCCACATGGGAGACAAGGATGAAGCTTCCAGATTCTTTTTTATTTATTTATTTATTTTAATTTTTTTATTATTATTTTTTTTGACAGGCAGAGTTAGAGAGAAAGATCTTCCCTTCCGTTGGTTCACCCTCGAAATGGCTGCTACGGCCGGCGCGCTGCGCCGATCCGAAGCCAGGAGACAGGTGCCTCCTCCTGATCTTCCATGCGGGTGCAGGGCCCAAGGACCTTGGGCCATCCTCCACTGCCTTCCCAGGCCACAGCAGAGAGGTGGACTGGAAGAGGAGCAACCGGGACTAGAACCGGTGCCCATATGGGATGCCGGCACCGCAGGTGGAGGGTTAACTAATTGAGCCATGGCGCCGGCCCTTCTAGATTCTTGTGGCCATCTGTGGAATGAACCAGCAGATGGAAGATCAGTCTCTGTTTCTCTCTCCTTAACGCTCTCTGAATGAATGAATGAATGAATATTTCAAGGAGAAAAAAAGATAGAAACATCTGTCACTAGAAAAAAGTGGAAGCTCTAAAAGTAGTCTCAGACCTACGTGGTCAGTCGATTTTTGACCAAAATGTTTAAGTCATTCAGTAGGGAAATGACCACTAGAATATGGGAAATGATGAACCTTGACCTTAACTCAAGACCTAAATATAACTTTTAAACTTTCTGAAAGAAACATCAGAGAAACTTTGCAACCTTGGGTTAAACAAAAATCGCTCAATTACAACAAACACTAATCATGAAAGTAGTAACTGATTTTTTAATAGAAAACTTTAAAAGTAGTAACCGATATATTATCCTCAAAGTTTAAATTGTCTGCTGTTCAAAAGACATCTTTAAGAAAATAAAAGGGCCTGGGGGCCGGCACTCCACAGTGTAGTGGGTTAAGCCTCCATCTGCAGTGTCGGCATCCCCATGTGGGCGCCAATTCGTGTCCTGCTGCTCTTCTTCTGAAACAGCTCTGGGCTGATGGCCTGGGAAAGTGTTGGAGGGTGGCCCACGTGCTTGGGCCCCTGTACCCGTGTGGGAGACCCAGAAGAAGCTCCTGGCTCCTGGCTTTGGATTGGCCCACCTCCAGCCATTGTGACCATTTGGGGAGTGAGGCAGTGGATGGAAGATTTTCTCACTGTCTCTCCTCTGTGTGTCGCTCTGCCTCTCAAATAAGTAAATCTTTAAAAAAAAAAAAAAAAAAAGGGCAAGCCACAGACAGAAGACAAGAAGACATTTGTGAAAAATATTTCTATAAAGGACTCATAACTGGAATATGTTAAGCATTATAACTCAGTAGGAAAAAGATAAAGAACTTGGTTTTTTTAAAATGAGCAGAATATTTGAATAGACACTTCACCAAAATGAGGAGAGCAAATGAAACACACGAAAAGGTGCTGAAATGATCAATCCTCGGAACAACGCACGTTATATCCATAGTGAGAATTCCACTAGTGTGACTGAAATTAGAAAGCGGGCACTGCCAAGTATTGGTGTGGATGTAGAGCAGATAGAACTCATGCACTGTTGATGGGAATGCAAGAGGGACTGGCCGCTTTGGAAAACAGTTTGGCAATTATCTTGTCGAACACATGCCACAACTGAGCAGTTCCGTTCTTTAGGTATTTACTTAGAATAAATGAGAACATGTTTATACAAAGACTTGTACTCAAATGCTTATAGAAGCTTTATTCATAATAGCCAAAACTTGGGAAAAACTCAGGTATTTATTAGCTGGTGATAGACAAATTGTGACATATGCAAATAATAAACTACCACTGTGGTGGTATATCCATGCAGTTTAATACTACTTAGTGGGACCAGAGCTGTGGTGGCATCCCATATGTGCGTTGGTTCATGTCCCAGCTGCTCTACTGTGATCCAGCTCTTCGCTGATGTGCCTGGAAGGCAGCAGAAGATGGCCCAAATGCTTGGGTCCCTGCACCCACATGGGAGACCTGGATGAAGCTCCTGGCTCCTGGCTGTGTCCTGGCCCAGCCCTGGCTGTTGCAGACATCTGGGAAGTGAACCAGTGGATGGAAGATTTTTTCTCTTTCTCTTTCTCTCTCTCTGACTTTCAAAATGAATAAATCTTTAAAAAAAAAAAATACTACTCAGCAATAAAAAGACCAGGTTGCCAGCACCCCAACAGCATGGCTAAACCTCAGACACATTACACTGAGGGAAAGAAGCCAGATACACAGGACCTTAGATTGTGATTCTGTGCATAAGAAATTACGGAAATGACAAAGCTGTAGTGGCAGTGAGCAGAGCCAT